CATATGGCACTCCAGCCGCCGGATGAGTAGTGTACTTTCACAAGTAGATGGACGCAACGTGTAATTGTAAATGAGTCCTCCTGGATTTATTACATGGCAGTCCTGCCCGATAGGTTGGGTCAAATCGTTCGGATAGATTGACGCAACATAACTATAAATGTCGTGATTAGTACTGCTATCGAGTCGAGTCGAGTCGTGTTTGGATATTAAAAATATTTGAGTTCAAGTTCAAACTTGTTGAATTCTTCAAAGTCGATTTCAAGTACACTAGATATATCTGTGTGCGCGTGAGTGCGTGCAAGTGTGAACGCTCGAGAAAAGTCATTTGTAAAAATTTGGATAATTTTCCATGATTAAAACCACCTTCTTATTCACGCGACTTGCTGTATATTTAAAAAAAAAAAAAAAAAGAAAGAGGAAAGAAAAGAAGGAAAAGTTATGCTTGACCAAAGGTAATTCTAAATCATCCAGCTGATGTTATTTTATCAACACGCTTTTAATCTCTTCAAGCTCTCATCATTGATGGTTTTTTATGTCAAATTTTGAAGGTGAGAGAATGTTAGGCTAACTAGCCAGGACTTATATGTGGGGTGGTTCTCAGTTCTCCCCCCTGTCTAATTTCATTGAACCTGAGGATGCCTGCTGTTTTCATCTTTTGGCTACTTTGGCCGGGGAATGTGAAGCGGAGGCGCTGGTCCAAGATGCCTGATTGACGTTTCGTCTTTGGTTAAAAAGAAATGCGTGCACCTTCGCCGGCAGGGAGATGCCAAAGGCCAATTTAAATTTTTGTTCTTTGCCCAGTTGAAAAGAAAGGCATATCCTATTTCATCCCGATTGCCGAACAGTGTGTTATTTTGCATTATAATAAATTTTATTTAGTTATTTATTTTTTGGTTTAAAGGAGACTCAAAATTTTACAAGAGGGAGCAAAAAAGAGAAAGTTTGAAAATTAGATTTTATTATCAATTAACTAATATCGCTGCTAACAAAGCTGACTAATATCTCCTCACTAATATCACCTGACTAATATTTCTACCAATTAAACTGGGATTTTGAGGATGTAACTTTTAACTGAAGGGTAGCAGCAGCAACGTGGTTCAAATGCCATCGCTAGATTGAAATCTGTGTTTCGTTTCAAGTCCTACCTATAATTAGACATGTCAATTGATTGGATTTTATCCAAAATTCAATTTAGACCCAATATATTTGGATAAGGTTTAGATTTAATATCAAACGTCTGGACTCTATCTAAATCCAGACTCTGTAAAAGAGTTATGGGTCTAAGTAGGGTTTGATTTTTTATGATCCATATCCAAATTCAAACCCATATAGACCCTACATAGACCCACATATATAATAAAATTATATATATATTTATTCATTTATTTAATAATATACTAATATTCTATGGTCATTAGATCGAATACAGTGAGACTTTATGATTGTTTTCTATTTTCAAGTTATTCCTAGTTGTCACTATAATTAGTACAAATTTTTTTAGAAAAAGGAGAATAAGTAAAGGCAAATAAATGAAAGATTTGATATCGATATAGTTGAAGTTTTAAAATTAATCAAAGCAGTCGATAAATAATTGAGTTCCTAATATTGCATTCAATTTCTTAAATATTAATTTATCATTTGAAAATAAAAATTGAATGATGTTTATATTTTTTTTAAATCCATACATGTAAATATATTTTTTTAATTTATTTTTTTAGGAAAATACAACAGTATCCATTGGGTACCCAGATCCAGGAGGGTGTGTAGCTTTGGACTTATTTTTTCAGACTCACGAGGGTATAGGTCTGAATATGGATTTGGGTTCAACTAAATTTAATGTGTATGGATCTGGATTAAAAGACCTAATTTAAATCTTACCCATTGACATGCTTACCTATAATGTACATTTTACTACGACGATAAAAGCACAAAATTCAAGGTGTGTATCTAAGATATTTGAGAGGATTGGATTTATTTTATTATGTATTTATCTTCAAGATTTGATAAACTTCTTTTTTTTTTTCTTCCTTGAAGAGACAGATTGATTGTTCACATTTTCAATCAACAACACTTCCGGGTTTTCTTTCTTCAGCAGTTTTGAATGGATAGGCAACTCTGCTCCACTGGAAAGACGTTCAATTGGAATCTGTCTTTGTAGTCGCATGGCTGTAAATTTCAACCAGGACAAGCCAGGAAATCTGCTCCAGATTAGATTCTGTTAGCAAAATTTTAAACCAAGCTATTTGATTGGTTAAATTTGGTTGCAAGGTTAATTTTTTCAGGTGATAGCATATCGTGCAAGGTTTGGTTACCTAGTGTTGTGTGGTTCCAGGTCCCCTTGCAGTGCAAACTTGTACTGGTCCAGAGCCGGTTAATGGATTCTAGTGGAGCGGCGGTTAGCGTTTTTCAAAGCGAAAATCGTTTGAAACGTCTCTCTATTTTGTTAAATAAATTTTTTATTTTTTACTTCTAAAATTTTAACTTTACTCTCCTTACAAATTTAAGTTAATGGAGTTTAGCTTTAACCCAAATTTCAAATCACTTTTTAGCATGGAAATCATTATGTGGATCCATATGCAGTAATTTTTTAAGTACAAAATGTTAAATTTCACCCTTGTAATGGTAAAAGATGAATATGAATTGGATCAGATTCCGCATTTATAGAGGATAAATGAATATGTTTGGATCAAATCTTACTTGTTTTAGAGGCAAAAATAAATATGGAATATGTCATTCATTTAATTACAACTGGAATCTAATCTTTTTACTCTTAAAAAAATCATCATATATGAGTTACATGATGAATTCGGGGTAAAAAGTAGTCAAAAAATTAAATTGTGACTCAATTTTATCAACTTGGGACGTAATGTTACTATTTTAAAAAGAAAGTACGGAAAAATTCATTTAGCGAAACTAGAGTAATTACTTGCCCTTTTCGAGTTGTTAAGTTTCCTTCGGCGGACTTAAAAAAAGAGTTAGAACCTCTGTATGCGTATATGTCAGGCTACCGTTGCTTGTACCCAAGCGACCTGTCCCTGTAGTATGTGGACAGCCTGTCCCTTTTGTAAGCCAATTGAAGGCGGGCTGCCATGGTCTCGACCTGCAAATTATGTCCTCTTATTTCTGAAGTTCAATTTTCTGCCTTTTCCTGTACCAAGTGAAACGGGGGAGATGATTGATGCCATTTGGCTAAGGCAAGAAAGAGCGGCCACTTATTTTATGATAAGTCGATGTACTTAGGGATGATAATGGAGGCGAGTGCCAGCCTCGCGATAAGGAGCGGGGCAGGAGAGGAGGGAAATTTTGTAGAACGAGGAGGCGGCTTCCCTCACTTCAAAACCGCCCCGTTGTTCTTGATAAATGTAATTCTTTGTTTCGTCTAATTTGGAAAATGCAACCCGGTCATTTGTATAATATCAGCATGTCCTCCACTGACAATATTAAGCATCTTTTTCACTTGTTTTTTCCTGGCGAGAATATGCTCTGTCCCCATCCCTTAATTTGGAGCTTTGCTTTCTTTGAATAAATATTGCAAGTAGATGAATTCGTAAAGGGGCCAATTCCATATAAGTAGAGTCTGAAAGATTGAATCTTAATTACCAGTTGTATTGCTATATTGCTTTTCAACCCGGGTTGTGTAGACAAAAAGTTCCGTGTATTTGTTAATTTTTTCAATTATCTAGTTATCTCACGTACATTAAATAAAAAAAATGTGATATATTAATTTTTTCCACAAACTCTTCAAAGAGTGCGATTATCAACAACTCTTGTAAATTTTTAATTGTGTTGGTACAATTTTTTAACCTTTTTTAATTCATCTTTTTATTTTTATTTTTTCAATAATATCAGCACCGTGCATAGCACGAATATTCACACTAGTCGACCTAGTACTCATACATCTCACGTATGTTGGAGCCAGAGAGAGAGAGCGGGGACGGATTTGCAGAACAGGTAAAGACGGCAGCGCAATCCATCGAACCTGACCAGCGTTATCACATCACACAAAACAAAACTCATGTCTGTCGTGAGGAAAATGTTTGTGCTGATCATTGGGCAAAATTAGGAAGAAGCTTAGAGCCCTTTGAATTGCTAATTTTTTTAAAAGTTTTTATAGAAAAATATCATGTGATAATTTAATGCGTGTAAGGTGAAAAGATAATTGAAGTATACATTCACGTTTAAATTTTTTTGAGTAAAATGACAATTCAAATCCAGACTTAGGATCTGCTTCATAATTCAATTCAACACTTAAATTTAATATATTCAAATCTTAACACGTTTAGACGCGTTTCATAACAAAAAATTGAACATCTAAATTAATTAAGTGGTATTGAATTTTTTAGCCAAAATCTGCTCCTAAAAAATAAGTGATAAAACTATTCACTTATCACTTAATATGATATATACTCACTTGTATTACATTTAGTATTTAACAATTTAATAGATTTCAAATTTTAGATTCAATATTTAGACTTAAATTTTATCAAACACATCTTAAATAATTCCAGGAGTCCCCTTGGCCACGCACTCTAAAAGAGCTTTTGGGCCTGGATGTCTGCATAATGTCGATTCCTCGCTTTGTTACACCCTCTAAAAGAGCTAATGGTGCTCTGGCCTTCCATAGTCCCCCCCCAAAAAAAAAAAAAAAAAGGTCACAGCCAAGTAAATGCAAAAAAAGTTTTATGACGTCTCCCAAACCCAAAAGTTGTACTATTTCTTTTTTCTTTTTTAAATGTACCTACTATACTACAAATAATTATTAAAAAAAATTCAACATTAAACAACGGTGATTAAAAACTGTTATGTGCAGCCAAAAAAAAAAGCTGAATTGTTATGGTCGTGTTATCGGGTGAAATCTTTTGACAAGGTAGGCCCAAATCCCGGCGACGTCGTCTGGATGTTTTCTAGTAATATATTCCTAAAAACTACTTACATGGGCCTAATTGTTTTTAGCATAAACCAGGGATTTCAGCTTTTCGTCTGAATGAATCAGTAGTAAAAGTTCGGAAGGTAGAATTGGAGTTCAGTTAACAGTTGGGAGTACTATTTAGAATCCAAATGCAGTTCAGCTAATTTTCCTCTACTCTAATAATCTACCCTGCATTTTTAGCGGAAAAGCATCAAGATTGTTTGGATTGTGATTTTTCGTTTAAGTTTTTTGTGAATATATTTCTCAATCGGATTTAGCAATCCAAACAAAGTGATTGTTATTCACATGGCGCAGATTGGATTCAGCGGCACTTTAGCTCTCATTTTCGTCCTCCTGATTGCCACCGGAACCGGGGGATTTTACCGATTAGCCGAGGGAGCAAAGCGGAGAATCCACGTCGCGGACAACCTCGACGACGTCGTTGATGACGAGGAGGACGAGGCCTGGAAAGAATGGGGCAAAAAGAAATCCACCACAAGGCCCCAATTCGATCCGCCCCCTGACGATTTCTCCAATATGGACGTCGCGGAAATGCAGTCTGAAATGCTGAAGCGCCAAGTCGGACCCGTTTTCGGCTTCGCCAAGCTCCGAATCGGCCCTCGTCGGACCCCTGTACGCAACTTGTTTGAACAATTTCATCATCGTGCCAAATCTTTTTTTATTCTTTTTGGAATCATTCATGATTGAGGTTTTCATGGGGGGTTTAATTAATTTTGCTCATTTAATTTTTTTTTTTAATCTTGAAGGATATGGTATCTGAAATTGCAATGAAATGGAGTAAGGTGGCAAGGACCGGAGGAATTGAGGCAAATTTCATGGGAGTTGATGTCAGTACGATTATGTTCACAATGGAAAAAGGTCAAGACGCCATTGAGGTTAGTTTCTTGCCGCTCTCCTTTTCTAATATGATAATACCTCACCTGTTAAAAGGTTGGTGATTATTACTGGTACTGTCTGGTTAAAAGGTTGCATTTTATTCTTGTCTACATAGAAAGTAGAAGATCAGGTTCAAGAAATTGATTTCTTGTTTTGTCTATGATTGCAGTTGCAAGAATTTATATTAAGTCAACCAGACGCATATGAAGTTAAGATAGGAGATCAGTTTTTCCGGCGACCTGGTGATCCTTCTTTCGACGAGGTTTTCAGCAAGCACGAGAGCGAGAAAAGTGGTGAAGACCATGACAAGCACAGCGAGCTATGATCACAAAGGGATCTGCTATGCACTTTGTTTTGACTCTTAGCAGCTGATTATAGCCTTTCAGGAAGCCCTCATGACAAGCTTATGACTCTCCTGCCTGAGAGGTTGTACTGGTAGTTTGTAAACTTCTTACCATTACCTTCAAAAAGATAGTTTTACAGCAATTACATATGCTTGCCTGATTTCTTCATTTCAGAAGTTTACAACATCTCAATCACCTCAGAGGTAGCTTTGTTTACTCTACAAACAAGTAATCCTGTGTCCATGAATTCATAATCTTCTGCATCAATCGGATAGCAACCATGACTGAAGTACGTGAAGCTCTTTCTAACAAGTATATGAACACAGAGATATCATATATTGTGTGGACAAATATATCAGAGATGATTTGATTAAGAAGTTTCTGTATCTATCAAGGCTCCGATGGCCTAGTCGATTAATAATCTAAAAAAATGGTTACAATTGATATAACTCAGCCACCACAAGAGAAGTAGTGATGGAAATTGCTTCTCAAAAATTTAATTATTACTATCTATCACCATAATTTGAAAAGTGCTCTCTCCCCATAACCAATGCATTATGGAGGAATATATAATCATTTTAACTTCTTGCTGAAGTCAGAGAGCTGAAGTATGTGAATTCTGGGTATGCTTGCAGCTTCTTCCCTTTCTTTTTGGGTGTTGTATCCCCAGTCTCCTGCTTCACATAAATTTGATTCACAACCAGGCCAACATAACCAGCCAATGAAGAGGTAAACGCAAGGAACATGAAGAAAAAACCGACAAAGATTTTCACCTAGATACAGGTTCCAGTTGTCCAATTCTGGCTCTTTGATGACATTCTTCAGTGTGGCTAGCCGGTCTTCTACAAAGCTGATCAATTTAAGAACAATGAGTCACCAAACAAAAAAAGGGTTGTACAGCTCAAAAAGATTGTTAATAACATTTACAATCAGCTAAATATCTTACTGCAATGACAGACCCTGGTGCTCTGGCATCTTTTGAAGCTGCTTCAGTACTTCTACTTTTGGCCTGAGGGCAAAAGAAAACTCAGCAAATTTTATATCAAGGCAACTTTATGCTAGTCATGTCTTGGATTAAGAGAATTGGCATATTGCTTTCACCAATATTATTAGTTTTGTAGAATGCTTACCCAGTCCCTAGACCATAGATTCTTTCCTGTGGAATAGTTACCCCTGCAAGCCCTTGAAGTAATGCATCTGCAAAACGGCTCTGAAAACAGAGTGGTGAGAAGAGAATCGTAGAAGTGAAAGTAAGAATAAGAAAGACTCGTAAAACAACAAAATCAGCAATAAACTTCTTGAATTTCCCACATCTGAGCTTTGTAGTGGTTATTTCCAATTCAGGGTTAGGGAAGAAACCTGTTTTGTGGTGACAATGTAGACCGTTGAGCTTGCAAACTTTAATGCATCAGGAACACCAGGATAAAACCTGCAGCAGAAGCATTTACCATTGATAAACCATCTTACAAAAATATACGATAGTAGTTGGAAACAGTTCTAGCCAGTCATGCATTGGTTTCAAGCGATTGGGATTAAATTCACTCACAGGGAAATTGACCATGGAACTTATGTAACAGCTTAAGCTCACAGTTGTTTAACAAATGAACATGCTGAGGCCAGTTTGCTTCTTCTTCAAGAACTTGCTTGTTAAGGTGGTTTAGAACTCTAACAGTATTATGTGAACACTATCCTGACAATTTTGTGAATATGAAGAATTAGATCTTTTTCAATGTTTGGCAAGTGACAAGTAACAGTAGTTCTTAAGACAGGTTTCACACATGTCCTGTACCTATTATTTTAAATTTTTCCTTGAAGTGAAACTGAAGTTTTCTGAAATTTGGGAGTAAAAATGAATTCAGCAATAGAATAAGCTTTGCTTAGACACACATGAGAGCAACTTTTCTTTCACTTTCCTTTTTTTTTTTGACTCCCGATTATGTTTAAGGAGGAGGTAAGTTGGACATAAGTTCATTGTTGCAGAGATTTCTCTTGTGCTCACCAATTACAAACACACACACATATATGTTCTTTCTTAGTCACATGTTGTAATGTATGGGAGTAGATAGCTGCCCTGGTGTATGCAAACACACCATATATGGAAAGTTACACTATCAAGTCCTAGGAATTCTAAGCGCTAATAAGAGCATATATCAGTCAAGATTTGTCCTAAAACATGAAATGCAAATTTACCTATTAGCACCAATCCAAGTGGCCAAATCATTGTCCATCCATTCATCCCTGATTTTACCAAAAAGATCTATCAGAGGATCCCTCTTTTCATCCCATTCTTCCATGATAATAGGCTTTATCTTTGACCAGTTATCCAGAATTCCCTTTACTGTAAGTCCCTCTGCAACCTTGTACAGTTAGCCATAAATATTAGGTCCAGACAGATGCAATAATGAAATTGACAAACTAAAGTTTCTCCTTTTAAAATACCATGAAAGCTTTCATTCTAAGCACTCACTGATGACTTGCGAATGGAAGGATTTGCCATCTCCAACAGCAGCCTCACAAGTAAAACATTCTCATATCCAGTTTCTACCACTGGTCTAACCTGCAATGCATTCACAGGTATACTGTTACAGATGGCCCCACACTAAACATGTCTCAGACTTTCACCAAATATTTTTTTCATCTATTAGTTTATGCTTTAATATCAGATAACTTTGAAGTAAATATAGCTTCTATTTGTGCAGCTTTGACATATGAACTAGTTGTTATCCTGCTGGGTCAAAGTACAACAAAACAAAGAAAATAACTTTAAGAAACGTATAAACATATGCTTACACAAGCATCGAATGCAAATAAAATCATGAAGCAACTATAAAAAAGGATGCATATCAATAACAATTGTCATCATAATTGGTGGTGCATCTGACTTTTGGCGATCCTGTTGATAAACATATGCTTACACAAGCATCCAATGCAAATAAAATCATGAAGCAACTATAAAAAAGGATGCAAATCAATTATAATTGTCATCATAATTGGTGGTGTATCTGACTTTTGGCGATCCTGTTGATACAATAATTTCACACTTCAAACAAGGAAAAAAGAGAAGGCTTGGAGTTGTAAGAGATTTATAGCCCAAAAAAGAAAAAAAATGGTCCAACCATTTCAGCAGCGCTAAATTGCCATTGGTGGAACAGGGTGCTGATTTCTGCATGCTGTTGCGCCACAGGATAACAGTTTATCAAAGTGCAGTGGCACATTGCAGAAATTCAAGTTTAAGAGCACAAGTAACCAAAAAGGTTTTAGAAGTTATTAGCAAACTAAGATTGAATGCTGGTGTTGAACAAAAGTCAGAGAACTAAACTAGGGTTGAAAAGGGTACGTGGCGAGAATAACTCTCTAAAAACCAGCATGTCAAAAATCCAACACTACACTATATGTTGTTGAGGATACCCAGAACTATGGATAACCTGCTGAAGTCCAATGGCAGGTACTTAATCTATGACTCTACTACACCCAGAATCTTCAACCCCAACAAAATTTTCATCCGCGCGAATCAGTCCAACAAACGTCAGGACTTGCTAGGATACAGCCTCAACCACTGGTAAATTTGCATTCAGAATCACAGGATCCTTTACAATAGAAAGCGTTTATAGGATAGATGGTGCTTGAAACTGCTTAGTTTAATCAAGAACCTTCAATCGGACAGAAGTTGAAGCTATAATTAGCAGTACAAATATTCTAGACTTTCACATATTATCCGAGCAATATAAACATTCAGCAGATACAAAAACAATGAAAAGCAATTGTTAGTGAACTAAGGTACATACAAATAAGCCAAAAGGAAGTATCACATTGGTTTGTCACCAGCTAATTTTGAATTTTCGTCCTCCTTAAAATAGTCAAGGTAAATCAACCGACCAGAAATGGAAAGCTAATTTGAAAGGGTTAAAGAAAAAGAATTACTATATGCATCTGATCAACAATCCACTCCTCAGTTGACGAATCAACGCCGTTGAAGAGACTAGGCCATCTCACCTTAGCAGCCTGGAAGAACCAGTGATGAAATGGAGATAATCAAAAGTCCTAATCTAAAATAGGATGTTTTTTCTCAAAAGAAAGAAAAAAAAAAAAGGTAAGAGGGTTGGGTAACCTTAACAGCAGAAAGAGAGCTCTCTCCACAGCTATCACAGAGGACGCCATCAAAGTCCAAAGCATACAAATCCCCCATCTCTGTCTCTCTCTCTCTCTCTGCTTCCTTCCAAGCTTGTTTTGCTTAGACTTCAGACGGATAATGATTGGAGCATTTCTCTCCTGTTGTATTGCCCGCCATACGACTCAGGCCAAGTGGCAACGGCCTCCTTTTCTCAACAACAAACGACATCGTTCGCTTGGAACACCCGAATTCAGAGTACCGTGTCCCAATCCCCAAGTATGGGCTTGGAGTGAACATTTTGCGTGGTTCCAAGTACTCTTGAGGAGATGGCTGCCACGTCAATTGTGGATGGAAGGTAAACAATTCGAATCTTATCTTTTATTAATATATTACTGTATATGTGATTTTTAAAAATTTAAATGGGTGCGTGATACATCCGTTTGAGATTTGATGATGGTTCAGTTCCTGTCAGATCTCTTATCTCAGTTGGACCAACCCCTAGTAGGCTAAAGTAGAAATATGAGTAGGTTAGATTAGTCTTAGATGTGCTATTATGCAAAAAAATAAAAGTTGCATCAAAAGGGTTGGGCTCCGAGTGGCAATTTTTTTTCCAGCAACATCCGTGAAATTCCGTAACACCTTAGAATTTGATTATCATATCAAATTGTTGTGGCCTTGGATGAAATTCACCGAACGAACACAAAATTGAACAATTGTCATGATAATTCATCCCCCACCTTTTAGTGGGACTAATTTGCATTCGACCCAATGATGATCTCTGGGGAGGAGGGAGGGAGGAGGTAAAGAGATGATATTTTTTTTAATATGGGAGATCGGATAACTTATGGCTGGCAAAAAGGTGTTTGGATTGCTATTTCGAAATCTGCATAGCACCGATGCTCAACTATGCACCCTTTAATTAATAGTTAAGCTTACAATAACAATAGGTAATTGCGTAACACGAGATACTTCTCTCCCTGAACGAGTAACCGTAACAGCAGGGCACTACTTGTTCCCACTAGGGTTGGAGCTGAACCAAGTAACTCGAGCTCGGTTGATCAAGTTCGAGCTCGAGCTCGAGTTTAGAAATATAATACTCGAGAGTTCGACGAACTCTATCGAGTTTTTTATAATATATATTTTAATTTTTATTATTGTAAAATGTCAATAATATCTTTTATTTAAAATTATATATAAAATATTAATTTTTATTACTTGAGCTTGATTAGGCTTGATTGAACTCGAATAAACTCGATTGAGCTT